CAACAGAGAGTGGGATGTGCGTGAGTTTTTCTTAAGCTCTATGCAAATAAGAGGAAGATGGAGGCTTGAGAACAGACTAGAAAGCATTCAAGTGCACATTCTTCATGAATTCTCTGTACTTTTGGCAAGCCTGCACCCTGCCAGTGGAGCAATGCCCACCTCCTGTTGTTTTCAGGAGAGGAAAGGGAAGCACTGGTCCTTGTTTTGTGCTGCCACTGGGCCACAAACTACCTCTCCAACATCTGCTGCCCATCCAAACTTGGCCAGAGCTACAACAGGCCCGAAGCTGTGGGTAGCAAGGACTGCCTCTCCAGTCTACTTCAGCAGGAACAACTGTGTGTTCAAACTGAGGCTCCAACACCCGGGTTTCTATTGTGGATCTCCTCAGGCATAACCCTGCATCACCCCCCTATACTGCAAGAAAGAGGCGAGAACAGCCGTCCCGCCAGTACAGACAGCGAAAACAGACCCCCTTTGTTCCCACTGCCCCTTCTCAGCGTCGCCTGAGGTACATGATCCACCCCTCCTCCTCCCTGCAACCCTAAAAGCTTCAGAACACTCCCACTTCTCCTTTCCCTCCTTGCACTTCTTCTACTGGGTGGCAAGACAGCAGATCATCTTATGAAAATTCTGAAAACATACACTGAGCGCACATTTCAAGTCTCATCTTCATTTGTTCATATCAAGTCCCTTAAATCAAGGTTGACTGGAAGTCAGATCTAGAGATGCATGGAGCTAGTTAACCTGTCAGGCGCTCTACTGGGGGTTTAGAGGGAACATAAAACCAACTCCACTATCCCAACCTCCCACTTCAAAAGGGGGCTCCATTGCTGTCACTCCTCGGCAGTTAGTTTGGACATCTCTAAATGCTTTGTTCTCACTAAGAGGTGTAATAACCTGACATGTGCAATAATAGCGTTCCCTGGGCAACCTTGAGTAATTGGGCTTGATGACTGTCATGGTGTAAAGCTCTGGTGTGTAATGATTCCATCACTGTGGGCCATCCAGGGGCGTACGCACTGACCGCTACTAATTCACCATCTGTCCACACTACCTGCTGCCCCAAAAAATACAACCTAATGTACTAACATTCAAGATGGTATCTGTGATTAACAAAGCTTGAGATTAATATTTTTCATTATTGAATCTGCTAATGATTTTGTCTAAATGTCTAAAACAAGCAAAAAATGAGCCCAAGTTGACATATTCAAGATGCTTGTTTTGTCTGACCAACAGCTGAAACCCAGATGTTCAGTTTACAATCATAGAAGACTAAAAATACAATATCTTGAGAAGCCAGAACCAAAAAATGTTTGCTTAAAATATAATAAACAATTAATTGATCATCAATATGAGATATAATGTACCTTAAGCTACCAAATCATTAACAAAGGGTGGCAACTTCATTTATATTATGTTTATATGCTTATTTTTCACAAGTTCCCAGAACCCGAAGAGACATTGCACAGCCAGATTTACAATAATATAGCAAACAAATCCTCACATTTGAGAAGCTGGAACCAAACGATGGCAAACGATTATCCCATTATCAACTGTTGTTGATTAATTTTCTGTTGACCAACTATCAATTTATCCACCAATCATTTAAGCAATAACTCATCATAAATCATTGAAGCTGTGCTCCTGCAGGAGACAAAATAGAAAATAGCAAAGGAACTGCAACTTTTATGTAATTACTCAGAAAACCACTCTAGCTAGCAATACATAACTCACCAAATATCCATTTGTCTTAGTCATCTGTCACCATCCACTCCTGATAATATAATACAGGTCTAGTATGTAAACATCAACAGTTGTAGCTGTGTGGAGCGGATTCGCAGGAACGTGTCAATCCCCATTAGAGCTGCTGCCTAACTGAGTGTGAAACTCTAATTGCACCCACCAGCTTGCAAACATACAGGCCCCACTCACAGAGCGGGACAGAGAAAGTGAAGTGTGTGTGTATGTGTTTGTGTATGTGTGTAATGAACATCTATGTCCTTCTTTGCATGTACTCATCTGCCCCTGTATAGATTTGTCCAAATTGCAACCACCAAGGCAAGTGTTTAGGCAGCCGTGAAGCGGGGGGGACAGCATTCCCTCTGTGGTGCTCTAATGAGGTGCTCATCAGTCCTAAAATGAGATGAACATGCTTGTGACAAGGAGTTCCAGGCGATGTCAGTGTGCTATGCTGCTGTGTGTGACTGGCCCACTGGGAAGAAACACCCAGTGACACTAATAGATAGGCATGGCCCTCCATCAAGTCCCCTGAGATTTAGCTTCATCACAGCTGAGCAGCACAGCACTTCTATTCACAACGGCTGCTGGATCGACTCCACTCAGGGCAACTACACGTGTCTCCAGAACACACTCACTCATTCAGTCAATCAGATGGGCTGACCTGTGATGGTGCGTTATTTAACTGGGCCCGTGCCACTCTCAATGAAAAAGAAATTACTGCAGCACATTATTGAAATTTCAATTTTCTTTAACTTGGGCATTTCTTTGTAATTGCTACTGGTAAGAATAACACTGCACTGAGATTACGGCAACATCAGTAAAAGGAAGTCAGATCGGGCAGAAACACAAGTAGTCAGATGACCATAGAGATTGTAAACAAACCCGGAGGTTAGACAAACTTATTTAGAAGAGAAATCAAAGGTGGACAGTGAAATTATTAGTCAGTCAACCACAGCTCACAGACCAACACTGGTTCAACATTGACCTACTTATTGTACTTGCACAAAGTTTTCCTGTGCAATGAGGGATTATTGACATTATTGGTGCACTCACATGTAGTTTAACCTCTAAATAAAGTAGTTTAGGATCGTCTGGTTAGTTCACAAACTTATTGCTTGATTAGGCTGAATAGAATGATAATGTTTCAATTATCAATTAATCTGTTGACTATTATTTCAATTCATTTTTACTATGTATGTTTTTGTGTATGAAAATGTCCAAAAATGTGAAAATGCCTGTTACAATTTCCCACAGCTGGAGGTGGTGTTTTCACATTGAGCTTGCTTGATTTATTGGATGGTTAGTCCAAAACCAATATATATTCAGTTTACAATCCTATATGACAAAGAAAAGTATTAAATTCCCACGTTTGAGGAGCTAGTTTGGTGAATATGAACAAATCATAAGTCATAGATTGTAATTAACCCCAAGTAACCTTTAAAATGTTGTGTCTTTCAATGCCACACAACAGAGAGGACTTTGAGTTTCTTCTTTTTAAATGTCTACTGACTTCAACAGTAGTTTGTTGGGTCACTACATAAATGAAGTGAGTCCTTGGTGAAATGAATCAACACGTGAAAGGTTCAGATCAGTTCCTCTAAAGAATGATGTCATCATTATTACCACAAGTGACACAGAACTCTTTCTATGAAACACTTTGTCCCATCCTACTGTTGGCGGAGTTCACAATGCCACAGACAGCTGCTTACAGAAGGAGCGTTGATCACTTCTCGCAGAATTGTCTGCGTGTTTCTCCGGCCCACAGAGTGAAATTAGTGGCATTTTCCCTCCAACACCCAAGCTTTTCCCATAGCCCCCGCAGCAGAGCTGCCCGCCACTGGTTTTAGGTCAGCAGTGTGACTGACTGGTGCTCTCACAATAACTCCAGCCAACGTGTGTCATGATAATCCCTTAGTTATGCAAATCTCCCCTCCTAGTGCCATTTGTGCTGAGGGTGAAAGTAAAGATGGCAGCACAATGTAGGTCACTATCTTGTCCCGATTTTTCTACATTGGTCAAATGAGCCTGAAATGTCCTGTCAGTAGATCTCCAGGAGCAGCAGAGTGGTGGCTCTCTGGGCACAAGCAACATCCTGACTTACCATGCAGAAGATATAGAAGACTGGAGAGACCACCGAAAGGCACACAAACAGCCGGGGATATGAATATGTAAAGTGGTATCGCACATTTTGCCGCCTGTTTCTGAATTAATGCAAACTAGACATAAGGCAGGGATAGAGGGGATATTGTTATCTTCTTAAACAGATTAACAATAGTCTGCCTGGAGTGAATAAACATTACTAGAAAGTGTGTCAGCCCTTTCAGAGAGAAGTAAGAACAACAGCTTCGGACAATACAGCAGGGGTCATTAGCATGGCATTCATTTGGCTATCTGAGCAGGCAGCGAAAGTGTGTGGCCAAGACATGTGTGTTTGGGTGGTGTATGAGCAAGAGTCTGGGGATTGGGGGGGGGGGGGGTTGCATGATGGTGAGTTCCCCCTTGACTGAAGCTTTCACCAAGAGGAGTCAGAGGGAGGGGGTGGAGGGGGAAGTAAGCAGAGGATTTGGGAATGTGGTTTTTTTTCCAGTAAAGGAATTGTTTGGCTTGTATAATAAATGGCATGGGACTTAACTGGTGAATCTCAGGGGGGCTACCATAATCAGATTGAGTATGATGAAGGGATTAGACCAAACAAACTGACTGGTCAGTCAAAACCAGGCAAAGTTGTGATATAAATATGAAGGGAATTAAGCATGTGGGGAGCAAATCAGCTTAGGACATGGGGGATTTTGTGTAAGAGGACAGCTATTTCATCAAACATGACATAAAAAAACAACTGTCAAATACAGCAGATCCATCTATCTGTCTTTACTTACAGCGTGTAATGTGAGCACCATATAGCAAAGGACAGATCACATCAAAGGTTCAAACTGCAGGACAAGTGACAATGATTTCTCAGCAAGCAGCCACTATATATCAAGCCATGATTTGACAGACGGAATATGTGCACCTGCACCTGCTCTCTGGTGACCGAAAGCTACCAGCGAACACGTAAATGAAAAGTGTGGTGTATTTTTAGAGATTCAGCTTTGAAAAACAACCTCGTGTCTTTGCGGTCCTGAGGAAAAAGCCTGAAAAGGAAAGCGCTCTCATTGGCCGCGTTACAGCATCCAACTCAACGTGCTGCTTCTTTCTCCACAAACTCCTGACAGTGTAAGCTACACGACACGTGTTATTATGTATGGTATAATTTGGCTCACCTTATCTCCTCCCTCGGTGGGCGAAACACGGAGCCTGCTCTGTATCTTCAGTCTCCGCGACAGAGCGATGCCGTCTGCTGTTTATTTACGTGGAGTCCAGTTGAGCCTCCTGCATTTGTGTCATCTGCCTCAGTCACTGGTCCCCTCCTCTCCCACCAGTTCACCAACACACACATAGGCGGGGGTGCGCAGCATCATCAGGGGCGTGCGCACGCCGATTGCGCGCACTGCAGCGCCGCTGCCGATGGATGGTGGCTTCAAGGCACTGAACAATTCCAGCAAATTGTGATCCAAATACACACTCTAATAGTACTTTAGCCTCCTACAGGCTTACAACCACAGATGAACAACAGCTGGACGAGTTTTTTTTTGGGGGGGGGGAGTCAAAAGTTGTATTTTAATGCTCAGCTGTGTCCTTTTCTTGTTATTTAACAGCAGGGAGCAGCTTTTTAATTTAGCTGCTGTATTATAATTGTTAGATTGAAATAATTCCAAGCCTTAAAGTCTTAATAATCCTGTACATTTTCATTAGGCCTGCAAAATTAAAAAGAGGAAATGAAAACAAAAACTCACATAAAACATCAAATCCACATTACTTCAATATGACAGTGAACTTAATTCCAGCTGTTCTGGACCTTAATTGTTTAGAGCCATTTGCATGTGCTGATACACTACCATTTTGCCCTGAGAGCAGTATTGCACTAATAATCATACAGTAGCCTCTGGGATCAGCTAAGACTCTTCTGAATGAGGTCATGTGACTTTAAAAGCAACCTTTCCTCTCAGTTCAGTCTGCTGCCAGCCAGCATGTCTCCTCTCTCAGTGCATGTTACACACATGCATTATCTCAGGCTCAGCAGTGGTAGCCTCCTGCAGCCATAGAGTCAAACACTGAGAGAAATGATGCAGTTATTACAAGGATAATCCTGGTTTGGCAAGAAGACAAGGTTTCTGGATTGAGTGGCTGGTCGACAGAGATTAGCTAAAATTAGGTTGTGGAACCGATTTCAAGCAAGATGAAAATGAGTTTATAGATAATAATTTGGAAATAAACCAAGATGCAGTTCATCATAAGATGTCAAAAGAAATTAACTTAATGACCCCTAAAATCCATTATCCCCACCCAGACACTCATTCACTTCTCTTCACTCTTCAAGTCTTCTGTATGTATTTGTGAAGTGTTTCCAAAGACATTTCTGCTTTGTGTAACAGTATATTTTACAATGTGAAGAAAGACAGAGGTTGACATGCAGCCAAGGTCATTTGCTGGACATAATCCCCCAGAGTCAAATGCACCAGATTCCCTCATCATCAACCAGAGGGGACATGGGGATTCTTACCCACATCTGCATATAGTGCCACACTGGAAGTATTGTAATTGTCCTTGCCTCCCATTTCAGACTGCCTCCAGATATGTCTGCATACGTCTTGAATCTCATTAAAATATTCTCTTAATTCCCCATGCATATTATCCCTAAAATGCTCTGAGGGATTTTCATAAGTTCACGGATACAGCACCATGGAGACTTGCAAAGTTACAAAGTGAATCTCGCCAGATCTTTGTGTTGAAATGCAAAAAACTCACCAGAGAAGACGTCGTCTCTGCCTCACTGGTAACTCCAATTATCGTGCCTATTACTGCAGTGCCCCCTTGAAATCCTCTGCTCACTGAGATAAAAACTTCAGGCATGGCTATTGTGTGGGAGAGACATAATCAGCACTGGGTCTGTTGGGCCTGTTTTCCTCACTGATTTTGTGTTATATATTTGACTCTTTTCAGAACAAACTTCATAACAGATTCAGCACCAGCAAGCCGGCCATAAAATGACTCGCTCCAGCAGAGGTGATGATTAACTAACAAAGCTTCAACACAGATCAGCAAGCTCATAGTCAGAATTTGCATCAAAACACAACAGTCTTAAACATATCACTGCCATATGTTGTTTTATTATGTGACAAAAAGAACTGTATTTACAATGTTGTGTATCCGGCATGTAACAGTTTATGACAGTTTAAGGCAAATTATTTTTGTTCAAACTGTGTGGATTGTTTTTCTATCACTTGTTTGTCTGTCACTTTTTCCAAAGGTGGCAATATTTTGCAGTTAAACTCCTAATATCTTATCTCGATATCTGCTGCTCATCCCAAAACTAATTAAGTGCTAATGAGCTGGGTTTATATGCAGCAGCTAATTGTGAGGTGCAGTGAGTCCCAGCCACCTCAAGGATAAACAGTTGTTACATATCAACAAAGATGGAAGAACACAGTACCTGTCAAAACCTCCTCGAGATCTGTTCCCAACATGGATTGAAGAGATATATTTATATCAGAGTCTGGAGGTTGGCCAAAGGTGCAAAAGAAATCAAATTATTGATGTGATTACTGCCGGGGGACAAGTTCATGAGTCAGATCCGTTTACATCAGGGGAGGATGTATTTCCTCTCTCAGTCTGCTGTGTAATTACATTATGACTTTCTATATTGAGTGGGAGCAGGCTTTACTGGCTACTTAACCGTGTTAACACACAGGGGGCAAAATCGTGACATGAATCTACTATATACAGCACAGTGACCAGATATGGAGCACCTGTGTTTCAGTAGGTAACATGTTTTACAACTATTATTCATCTGAATCACAGGCAAAGCTGTTGTTTTTACAGTTCAAATCTTGTGCATTTATTTGATTTCTTCCCATTTTTGCATTTCCAACAACAGTAATACAATAATTATTCAATTTGCAATGCCTGTATAACGAACTGAAGCGTTTTGCACCGTCTCATTGCTCATCACTGAAGACTATGCTGAATCACTGTCAAATTGGCTGAGATTCGTTTTTTCTGTTGACAAGTTTGGCTGCTATTACAATAACTGTGTTTTTACCACACCAATTACTCAGGGCTCTCCATTTAAACCCGGTAATGTGTTTTTAATGACCACATCTCAGGGTTTGACCTTTCCTCATTTCTGTGTCAGAATATGAATTTGCTCTGAAAGAAACTACTGGATCAAATTATCAAGTTTTAAGGGCCAACAAATCTGCTTCAGTGGCTAAGTAAAGACAAGCAGAGAAGTAGTGTGCTTAGTGTTTAAGTACAGTTCGTATCTACAAGCAGGTCTTTTTGTTTGTGTATCATGTACGACACTAGATACTTGCCTATAGTGAAAGCTGCATAAGACTAAAGACTAAAAGGTCTAAAGTTAGCAGGTGATTTGAGTGCAATAAGAAAGCAAAGGCATTCATAAAAAGTCCCTATCAAACGGTGGAAGTCTGGCTCACAACACTACAGGTTTAGACCAGCTTCCTTCAACAAGTGATCACAAGAGCTACACGTCGCATGACAGGCCAGGCTCTGAAGGACCACATAAAGATTGAAGACAAACATCTGCAAACAGCTGGCAAGGACAGAATGAAAGTATCCATATTGACAGGGATGTCTGTGTAGGACTTAATTAAAATCGTAGATAAATTGCAATATGGCCTACAGAAATTTTCAAATCGCAGGGGATGCAATACTTGTTAAATGTGAAATGTGTGTCAAAATACCATTTTAATTAAATATTGTTGTGCTGCAGAGATGTTCTGTCCTACATATCATTTTTGGTCCTTGCAAAAATCACACCATAATTGTGTTTTTGCTTGAAAATGAGAAATTATGCAAAAATGATCACCTCTAATATACCGCAATTGCAGTATCAGTCAAAATAACTGCAATTAGATTCAAAATCGTTCAGCTGTACATCTGTGAGTCACATTGGACACTTGACAGCACTGTTTGATCGTGGCAACACAAGGTTAGCAGCAAAGAGGTGGGACCCACATCTCCTGGAAATCTCTGTAGACAGGACTGCTGCAATGAAGAGCAGCCTTCAGTATAACAGTGCCGCTAACTGGTCCACAGTCTACAAGCAACGCTTGATAACAGAGTGTTCATCAACAGACTGTTTGATGTCTTTAAATTGTCCTGTTGTTGTTTATTATAGAAATACCCAGGACTCCCTGAAAGCAGCATTGAAACTCAATGTGCTGCTTGCTCCGCTGATTAGATGCACTGAGCTGCCATACCGGTGACTGATTGATTGAGAGGAGAAATGTCTCTCTAGTGAAAGATGTGTCTGTCATGTGATCTTAACTTAACTTGCTAGATAATAAGGATGATTTTACTGAGGTACAGAAGTGCCTCTTGATTACCCACCATCGGTGCTTTGGTGTCAGAAAAATCAGCACTAAGTCAGGGAACAGCAGCTTCACTCTTTTGTGAATCTAAAATGTACTGTATGTTTCTCTGCTTTTGTAGACTTCTGCAGAACAGTGTTGACCGTATTTTAGCTTTTTTTTTAATCACACATGATAGGTATTATTGATTATTTATTCCTGGCTCTCTGAATGAACCAGCTCAGGATCTGTTAAGATGTAATCTTTCTAACTGAGTGAACAATCAAACAGACATCTTAAGATAACAGGGTTCAGAGTATAACCATGCATGTGGAAAACACAGTGTGACGTTTTCCTCTTCTTCAATGTCGGCTTAAGCTGCAGAGGCAGAGATGGTACTTCATCACATACAGATATTTGGATCATCTCAATCTTTTGATTTGTTCTATTATTTTGTATTAAGTCAATGTACACTTGTTTATTCATTTGTAAAGCTGTTAAATTACAGATAAAACAATATATAGGCACTGCCTACATCCTACATCATTTCCTCCTCAGACCACTGTTGATGCTGTTTGTTGTGTCCTCTGTCTTCTGTGGCCATCGCTGCGTTTTCATGCATGTAAGCAGTTGGGTGGAGAGCTGTGTCAGTGTACGGTGTTTATGCTGGAGGGAAATGCAATCCATCAACGGCTGGGGATGTTACCCAGGTGCTTGAGCACAGCCTTGCACTCATCTCATTTCACTTCCTCTCTTTATGACAGGCAGCTCTGGGAAGATCCTTCAAAATTATCTTCCCCTGAAAAATACAGCCCTACCTTTTCACGCTTAGACAAACCAACATGAGTTAGAAGGAAAATAACCACTGGCAGTTCTAGATGTGCCAGGATTCGTAATCTTATAAATTAGAATTTGCTGTAAATCAAACAA